GTAGTAGTAGTATATTCTGAGTTCAAAACACATCTACAGATTTTTAAGGGTTCATATTTGTTTGCATATCTCTTTCCTGGAAATATTGGGTACTTAGTTGGTACTACCTAGTAAATGTGTTGACTGAAAGAACACAATGCACTGCTGGTATTAGTTGTTCTGATCAGTGACCCTTAGCCACAGGATCATAGTGGAGTTCTGGTGGCTTTTAATTCTCTGATTCAAGAAGTAGAAGGCAGAATTGGGTAAGGCCTAGGAAGGAGGGTAGCTGAGCTATTCAACTTGTGAAGCTATGTGTTTGTGAAAGTAAACTCAATTTCTGATAGTAAAAATACTCATTAGGATCAGCTAGTCAAGTAATAATGTTTTTTTTTGTTTGTTTTCTTTTTTGGGTCCGGTCGTGGGGCCTGAACTCTGGGCCTGGGCACTGTCCCTCAGCTCTTCAGCTCAAGGCTAGCGCTGTACCACTTGAGCCACAGCGCCATTTCCAGCTTTTTTTTTTCTGCTTATGTGGTGCTGAGGAATCAAACCCAGGCCTCATGCGTGCAAGGCAAGCACTCTACCACTGAGCCACCTTCCCAGCCCCTAATGTTTTATATTTTTCACATGAGGCTTTAACTTTTGGGGGTTGCCTATGATTCTTGTTCTTAAATTCTATACAGGTTTGTTTTTTTTTTACCTCTTACCAGGCTGATAAAGTACCCCAAATTATTAGGTAGAGGTTTTTTGTTTGTTTTATCAACATTGTACCCACTTAGCTATTTGAAGAAGTACTTTAAAATAGCACATTAAACTAATAGTTAATTGGGTTTTTAAGACACAGCGACTAGACTTCTATATTTGCATGTGGTGTTTGGAGGATGGGTCATTCTGACCTTATAGCCTGTCTCAGATGTGCTGTAAATTCAAGAATGAGATATTGATGTGCTTGTAAAGTTGTGGTAAGGCTGGGCAGTGAGTACCCTAGCATGACATAGTTAAGGACTTCAAGGTAGTTTTTGGCTTTTTATCTACTTTCCCATCTTCCTTATCCAGCTTATATGTAGGCTTAGTATTTCATATTATCTAGAGTTGAAGACAATGAAGTCATGATGGTAATATAACCTACTTAACTATGTAGTAATCTTTTTTCTTTTTTGATGGTACCAAGGTTTGAACTCAGGGACTCACACTTACTCAGCTTGCTTGCTCAGTTGGTGCTCTACCACTTGAGCCACACCTCCAGGTCTGCTTTTTGCTTGTTATTTTTAGAGACAGAGTCTCATGGACTTTTCTGCCTGAGCTGGCCTCAGAACTCAATCCTCCATATCTCAGTCTTCTGAATGGCTAGAATTATAGACATGAGCTAGCAGCACCTGGCTCTTCAGTTATCTCTTGATTTTCTTGTACCATAATATATCTTATATATGTTCTATATAATTTATATTGTGTCTATATATAAATATGGTATATAAAATATATATGTATATTTAAAATATGTTATCAATAATACTGATCATAATTCATCATTGTCATTATTATGGCTTAAATGCAATGTTGTCCAACCCAGTCAAAAGGCTGTTACTGAGATCTGATTTCTTTTTAGTTTGTTGTTTGGGAAGGGTGGGAAGTGCCAGTACTGGGGCTTGAACTACAGGCTTCATGTGCTCTCACTGATTTTTCACTCACAGCTGGTGTTCAACCACGTGAGCAAATGCCTCCAATTCCTGAGATCTGCCTTCATTGGAAACTGATATTCAAAAATTGCTTTTGGCAGCAGTGTCTTTATTTACAATGTAAGGTGAACAGCGGTCTAGAGGGTTTTTTCCTCAAGGGGAAAACAGCTACCAACTGGGAAGACAACCAGTGGAGCTGGAGGCCTGGGGTACCTGGCAGAGCAGATGCATTCCACGGCAGGAGTTGTGATGTGGGGTCTCTACCACATGTTGTTTGGAGAGAGAAAAAAAGGTTATTATGCAGCTGAGTGTTGCTGGGCCACCTTAAAGACAATCATCTATCAGCACATGGCATGAACCAGCTTGAACCTGTAACCTTGCTATACTGAGGCTGAGATCTGAAGCTTGAGGTTTCAAGCCAGCTCAGGCAGTAAAGTCATGAGACTCATCTCCAATTAACCAGCAAAAAATCTTGACCGGAAGCAAAGCTCAATTGGTTGAATGTAGCCATGAGCTAAAAAGCTGAACAAGAGTACAAAGCCCTAAATTTGAGCCCTAATATTACACACAAACATGCACGCACACACTCATGCAAACATACAACTTGAGTTCACATTTTGCCTGCTTTAAATGTGGACCAGACTCATTGAGAGATAGGGCAGTGCACTGCGTAGTAAGCCGCTTGCCACACAGTCTAATATTTTTAGGTAGTGAAGATTATGCTAAGCTTTAGGCTGCTGGTAGGTTTATTAATACAAGGTGCGATTATGACTATTAGTTCAGTTTTTACATTACTGAAAAAGTATTTCTTGCCACAGCACCTTTTCTTTTTTAACCTAAAAATCTGCAAATGTTATTGCAGTTCCTCTCCCCAGCATCAACTCCCATGTAGGTGGTACCTGGGTACACACCCAGAAGTCTGAAAAGAAGATGAAAAGGGAAGGGAGTCACAACAGCATGAAAGGAAGGAGCTTCCAAATAGGCTGCCAATGCCAGCAGCATGGAGCTGGTGGAGGAGGGGCTGCCCCTGGAAAACATTAAGAGGTGCTGGTGGTCTCTTGACTGTTTTTCAACCACCAAAATAACTGCGTATTGGGTTGAACGTCATTACCTTGGTCCTGCATTAATCTCTGCAGTAAAACTAGCTGACTGTTAAAAGTCATACCAACATGCAAGAAATTCTTTCTAGAAAGGCAGTGCTGACCTATGGCCATCTTAGTGACTTGAATATGTTGAGTGCTTTTAGTTTTCTTTTTTGAAATGCAATAATTCTTTTGACATAAAAGATATTCTACAGTTTTAGCACCTAAACTGAAAAAAATGTTTCTTTGGATCCAAAGAGATCCTTGTTAATCATGTTCTATCTGATGGAGTATATGTAGTTTATCTTGAGTCTTTATTGAGTTGTGTGGGTTTTGTTGTTTTGTTTTTGTTTTTGCCAATACTGAGGCTTGAAATCAGAGCCCTAAGCTCTCACTTGGCTTTGTTTTTCACTCAAGGTTGGCACTCTACCAGTTGAACCACATCTACTTTTCAGCTTTTTGCTGGTTAATTGCAGATAAGAATCTCATGGACTTTCCTGTCCAGTTTGACTTTGAACTATTAACCTAAGATCCCTACCTCCTGAGTGACAAACTATAGGTGTGAGCAACCAGAGCCAAGCTTGAGTCTTCATTGAAGACTCAAGTCTTCATTAAAGGGACTTTGAGAGGTTCACTTGTTGTACAGCTGTGTATTGAATGCATTGTTCCATCTATAAGACTCTGAGCAAGATGCCAGGATGTAATTCTTTCTCCTTTTGTCTTTGGGATCTGACCTTGGACTTAATAAAACAGCATATGGACTCTTTCCCCTTGTTATGTTACAAAGAAACTTACCCAGTTAAATGTTGACCCAAGATGAGTTTTAAATAGAAGTACACCCAGATTTTTCTGGCCTGCTGCTCAGCTCTGTTCTATGCTTTCAGTCCTGATGTGAACCTTGCTAGGTAGAAAGTTGAAAGCACAAACCCTGATCATTGCTTTATGGGTCTTGAGGTTTACCAGTTCTGTTTTTAATTTGTGTGTATTACTGCCTGGGCCTAGGCTACACACTGCAGCCTGGTGCTACCCCAGTTGGAGGGTGCATGTGACGGGGGGAAGGTTGTACAGCTGTAACTAATGTGTAGTTTACTCTTCTTAGCTTCAAAATGGTAAGAGCCATGTTGCTTGCATTATGCAGAAAGGATTTTAATCTGAAGTAATGTACATTTCCAGAGATAGTTGCTAAAAACTTGGCATAATTGATTCTGCATGGGAACCTTTTCATTTGTCAAGTTGTAAGGAAAAAAAAATCTCGATTTGATCATTAAACAATTCTATTTATTTCAGGAAACAAGTTTATTGTAGATTTTGAGGAAAGGGCTTATCAGAGTTTAATCGAGAGTTGAGAAAGACTTAAGCCATATAATAGAAGTCAGTGTTTTCATATATTTTAAAGTCATCCATTAATTTGTCTATAAATGCCATTGACCATAAGCCATTTGCAATTTACTAAAGCTAGTCTTTTTTTTTTTCTTTTTTCTTTTTGGGTCCGGTTTTGGGGCCTGAACTCTGGGCCTGGGCACTGTCCCTCAGCTCTTCAGCTCAAGTCTAGCACTCTACCACTTGAGCCACAGCGCCACTCCCAGCTTTTTTTTTTTCTGCTTATGTGATGCTGAGGAATCGAACCCAGGGCCTCAGGCATGCAAGGCAAGCGTTCTACCACTGAGCACCATCCCAGCCCCAAGCTAGTCTTCTTTAATAGAGTTTATTGAGTCATTATTTCCTCCTTCCTTCAGATTCATTCTAATTAGTTAGAATTTGCTGTGGTATCTTGTTTTTAAATTTCTTATTCATCAATCCATTCTAGACTTCAGATTTTAACTGAGTATAGGAGGTTCTACGTATACCTTATTGGTTGATGAGTGCAGAATGATTGGGCTCTGAGTATTGGCACCCTAATATGCATTAACATTTCTAAACATCTTTTCATGATTCTTTCAAGAAGTAAAACCACTGCCAACTTCAGAATAAGAGTGTATTTGGGAGAAGGGAGAAGAACAGAAGCACCATGCGGTATCTGTTTTCTGATAGAGTTGGGTGGAAAAGCAAAGATTGATTTGCTAAAGTTATAAGAAGAGGCAGTAGTTCGCATCTGAAGAGAAGTTAGAGCAGCCTCTGGCCTCTCTCATTTCTCATGGAAGAGTTGCTGACTTCACTTGGTAATGTTGGCTTTTAGGGAAGGCAGTGTATGAGACTAATAAAATAAGATATTTCATAGAATTCTCATTTTAAGTTTTTAATTTTACTGTCGTTCTCTTAATAGCAAATCCAGTTTGCTGATGACATGCAAGAGTTCACAAAATTCCCTACCAAGACAGGCCGGAGATCTTTGTCTCGCTCCATCTCACAGTCCTCCACCGACAGCTACAGTTCAGGTAGGTGCGAACAGTAATGTCCCCTCTGAGCTCTTCCTGGTATTCTTCACTTACCTGGAATCTAAAAATTCTTCCTACTGAGGTTGTTAATTCACAGTTAGGAATGAGAATGGCCCCAGCCAGACATAGCTAGGGAAGCATTTGTTATTTTGATTCTTTTTCACATTGTCTCTGTAGCATCTGTGGCCAGTGCTAGAAGATTCTTATTCCCATGTTTATCCACTGACATTTCAGAGGGACAGAATCAGTGGAATTTTGGTTGACAGAACTGGCTTTGACAAAGAAGTGCCCTTTAAAGCATAATTTCTAATATAAAATAAACCTTGCCACCTGGCTTTCTTTTCGTTATTCCCAAGTCTACTTGAGTTGTAACAATAAAGTTACTATTTTGACTTCTTTTATTTACTAGTAGGATACCTTTTTTTCAGACCTACTTCTCTCCTGTTAACCTCTGAAATGTGAAGCATACAAACCACTATAATTGACTCCAGCTTTCTTTTATCTTTTTCCAATTGAACGGTTAGCCCATAACCTTAGAAAAGGATATAGAGTCTTAGGAGGAACACTAGAAGAAACATTGAGGGGCATCTAACATAAGCCCCATCATTGTTCAACTGAAGAATCATTGCCAAAGGATTAAGAGGCTTTCCTAAGGTCCCAGATTGCTATTAAAGGCAACAAAAATCCATATCCAAAGCCTTTCATTGTCCCTTGCCAGAATATTGTTTGCATTGCCTGGTTTGCAGTGTAAAGAATGTAAAATAAAATACATAGTTTGCCAAAAAAAAAAAAAACCAACCAAACTTATTTCTGTCCTGTACCACTGATAATCCAGTGTAGATAAGATAGGCACACAAGAACAATGTAGATATAGAAGACTGAGTAGTGAAATTAGTGTATGTATTCACTTGGGGCAGAAGTATCCAAGAAACAATTGTAAATGAAAAAGTGCTTTGGAATAACAGGAGGAAAAAAAAGGTATTTAGATGACAAGCAGGTTAATTATAGCCAAGAAAGAAGGATAACTAATTGGAGTGAGTTATAAGTGGAAAAGAAATGGATTACTAACAAACTTTTTAAATATCTTGATGGTCATGATATAGAAATGTAGTGGAGTGTTTTAAAAAGTGAAGTGATAAATAGAAATCAGTGAGCATTGGTGCACTGGTAGAAACTGTGACAAGGCAAACATTCAGTTCAGAAAGGAAAGAATGATTTGAGAGGTAAAGACTGTGTAGACCCTCTTGACTATCTGTCTGAAGGCTATATTTAGCATTTATGGAAAGCTAGTGTTTAAAGTTGATTATCTTGACCGACTGGCAGTAGAACCAGATTTGCCTGCTTTTTGTGTTACATTTTTTTCCCTCATTATTCCTGAGCACAACCTAGTGCAAAAATCCCTTGTGAGAATCTCTTACTGTTTTCATCTATGTCGGTGATTCTCCAAGCAAGATCCTCTGACCAGTAGCATCAGCAGTGCCTGAGAACTTGATGAAATAACAGTATAGGGTACCTCCTGAGATTTATCAAATGAGAAACTTTGGCCATGGCACCTAGGTATCTGTGTTTAAACAAACATTCTGTGTGATTCAGATAAATGTTTGAGTTACAAGAACAAGTGCTCTATAGAAACAGCATTACCTCTCCCTAAGTTAGTCTTCTCTTTTGGCTAGCCAGATATCTCTGTTATATGGGATCACTACAGGACTAGAATCTGTGACCCCTCATCAAAGGTACTAGTACAGAGCATCCTTAGGATGAGCGAAAGAGCTGCAGCAGAGAGAGATGCACAGCAGTTCTGTTCATGCTGGCTTAGACCTGAAAGAGTAGGTTCAGCTGAGAGTGACGTAAAAGGGAGCTCCAATTAGTGTTTGCTTGACTTAAATGACAGTCCCTTGGGGGTTGCACTCTGTACCATTGGGACCATTGAGGTTTTTGTATCCCTCTTTCTTTATGGCTCTAGCTGCATCCTACACAGATAGCTCTGATGATGAGGTTTCCCCCCGAGAAAAGCAGCAAACCAACTCGAAGGGCAGCAGCAATTTCTGTGTGAAGAACATCAAGCAGGCAGAATTTGGACGCCGGGAGATTGAAATTGCAGAGCAAGGTAAAAGAAACAGAACGGGTCGGGGACCAGAAGCAACCCTCTTATTGTTTATCAGGACTGAGACAATTTAAGGCTTGAAAGCTAACTTGAAAGTAGTTTGGGGAAGGACAGTTGCCTGGACTTTTGGATAAACACTTCTCTCTTCATGGAGCTTCAGCCCCAGGAATTTTGTTCTTGTTTTTCCTTCTTCCTGCTCTCAGCATGTGTTTTCCTCCCTCATGACACCACATTCAAAGATCTACAGTGCAGAGTCAGCAAGTCCTAGATCACTACATAGTAGTTACTTATGTGGGATCTTACTGGAGTTGCCAATCCCCAAGACCTAGTTTTCCCAGAAACAGCTGATGTGGGGGAGAGTTTAAGCCAAGGATATGGTAGCCTTGGGTCTGCTTTGGTCCAGAGCACCCTCTGCTGGAGCAAAGTAGAAGTGACTGGCAGTTAAATCTTGGTTTCTCTATCCAGGAAGCTCTTTACTGTTGTTTTGTTTGCACCTTGAAGGCCTGTCTTTTCTGGGAAAGGGGTAGAGAAACCAAGCAGATTTACAGGATAAGGTAAGACAGCAGAGAAAACAGAAGCAGGTGGCTTCCAATGAAGGCAAAGACTTTCTTCCTGGTGTGGTAATTGGGTATGGAATTACATTAGCTTGTGCTATAACTAGTTCTCTCAAATGGATAGATGGTGAAACCCATCATCTATTTTGACTAGTTTTGAGAGTTTACTGCATTCTTCCTATGTAAAGTAGAAGCAGCAAAAGAAAAAAGAACTGCCAAGTGGTTGCATGATAGCTTCCTACCATTACCTTACTGAAGCTTCTAGAAGTCACCAGGGAAATATGTATGCCTGGTGTTTTTTTATTTTTGAGTTTTTTGTGTTTTTGTTTTTTGTTTGTTTGCCTCATCTAACTATACCTTAGCAGACCCAGCCCGGCTGTGGCTGTGGCTGGGCAGTATATGGTACTGGTAATGCAGACCTGGCTCAGATCCTCTGTTCTTCCACAGACATGTCTGCTCTGATTTCACTCAGGAAACGTGCACAGGGGGAGAAGCCCTTGGCTGGTGCTAAAATAGTGGGTTGTACACACATCACGGCCCAGACAGCGGTGAGTTTACTGGAAGAAAATAAAAAGACTTCTAAGAAAGGAAAGAGACAAGTTGTTGTTGTTGTTGTTAACTTGCTTTTCTTCCCCTATTGAGCCACCCTCCAACTGTCAACTATTAAATAGAATGTATATTACATAATGATGTGTTATTTTATTTTCATTTGTATTAGTACTCCCATTTTAGCCAAGCCAACTTAGGAAGAACTCAAATATGATCATGATAAAAATGTGTAGACCTCTAGGAACATACCTTTTGGGTATAGCTAAGTACCAGTGTGCCACCCAGCTGGATTACACCCTGTGTAACTTCCCCACTGTGGCAGCTCTTGCTGCAATTATGGATAATGTGTTCCTACTGAGGTTTGCACCCCACTGCTGAATGGCCCTCCTCTTCCTCACCCTGTCTTCCTACACATCCACACAGGTGTTGATTGAGACACTTTGCGCCCTTGGGGCTCAGTGCCGCTGGTCTGCTTGCAATATCTACTCAACTCAGAATGAAGTAGCTGCAGCTTTAGCTGAGGCTGGTAAGTTCAGCTTTTTTTTTTTTTTTTTAAACCAGCTCTGCCTCAACTTACTTATTTAAACATAGACTTTGCTGTATCAAAATTATCATTACATCATGTATGTCTAGGGACTATAAAATTTGCGCAATGATTAAAAACATCAGCAGGAAGAAAATGGATAATAAAATCTGTGGCAGAATAGTATTTCGTCATTAAAAATGATCTTTGAAAATAAGGACAATGAGGAAGTGACCAATGCTGTGTTAAATGGATGAAGATAACTAGTAAGCTGTGTGAGCTCAGATGGTCTCTTTTCACCAAAAGTCTAAGCAATTTTGAGAGAAAAAAATCCACGTAAGCAATGCCCTTTTTTTTTATTGGTAGATCGTTAGCTTATTTGGTATTCAGTATTACACTGAAAATGTCTGTGTTACTGGTGAGTTTTAAACATAAAATTTTTATTGTTGAAATGTCTAGAAGAAAATCACCATGAGGCTTCTTTGAGGACTTCCCATTTTCCTAAGATCTTCAGAAAGTAACTTTATAATATTCTTGCCTTGCTTATTCTGATCTGATAAGTGTTTATCGTAGACATTTAAAGATTTCAGAAACAAGTCCATAATCCCATTTCACCCCTTTCATGGTAAAATTTTTCTTTTTCTGTCTACACAGATAGAATGAAACTTAGTATGCACATAGTTTTATATCCTGTTGTTTTCAGAATTTTTCATATCACTGAAAACAGACACATTATTAATACCCATACAGCCTGTGATTTTCCTTCATATTTTCCAAACATTGAACATTTAAATTCTTTCAAGGTGTTTTCTAATATATATGATGCTCCAGAGAACAACTTTATATTGTTTTCCACTTGATTTTATCTCTTTAGGATGGAGTTCCAAGTATAAACTTGGCCTAAACACAGTAACATTTTATGATTCTTTGAATTAAAGTATTATTTTGACTGAGTTTTTGCTCTTCCTAAGTTTGTCTCTCTTTGGGATAGTTTTTTTGCCTTTGTCTCTTCACATGAATCTCAGAAACTGATTCTGGTACAGTACACCTCAAAGGAAGAACTGACTGACTTATTTTGATCTACAGGAGTTGCAGTCTTCGCTTGGAAGGGCGAATCAGAAGATGATTTCTGGTGGTGTATTGACCGATGTGTGAACATGGATGGGTGGCAGGCCAACATGGTAATGATTCATGCCCATCCCACACTTTTGACTATAGATTTATTTCTTTTCCTCCTTCAAAGCATGGTTCCCTAAATATGTTTTGGATGTTTGGTCTTACTAACTGTTGCTAAAGTGTTTATGAGCATGATAATCTATTCAAAATGGATATGAGATGCACAAGGCCCTGGGTTCAATTCTCAGCACCAAAAATATTAAAAGAATGGGTCTGAGTACTGAATGGAAAGGTGGAGAAAGGGTAAGTCTAGCTGAACTCGTGACTCAAACACAGCAGAATGAAATAAAAGGAAATGATACAGTCCTTTAGAGTAGTATATTTGGCTCTTTTCCTTCCTGTCCCAACTCTCCTTTTGTATTCAAAGGGGATATATATTTCAAGACTCAAAGCTAAATATTAATCTAACACTCTTCACTGTAGCCAGGCATGGTGGCACATGCCTGCAATTACAAAGCTTGGGAGGCTGAGGTGGGAGGATCAGTTGATTTCAGGAGTTTGAGACCAGCATAAGTACATAGTGAGAGGCTGTCCAACAAAAAAGAAATTTGAAAAGAAAAAAAAATAACTCTCCATCATAAGAATCCTTTTGAACTACTTTGCACCAACAGATTTTACTGTATTTCCACTGTCTAAACTTTCTCTGTGGAGCTCTCAGAAGTGCTCTTCCAGAACATACAGGGCTCTCTTACTAGTGCAGAAAGTGGGCTCAAAGTTTCCCCCTAGCTCTAGCAGCCTGAATGCCCATAGAAGTCTTCTGGCTGTTCTGTAGATCCTGGATGATGGGGGAGACTTAACCCACTGGGTTTATAAGAAGTATCCAAACGTGTTTAAGAAGATCCGAGGCATTGTGGAAGAGAGCGTGACTGGTGTTCACAGGTAACAGATTCTGGAGTAGCTGCCCTTGTGTCCTTGCCTCAGCCAATTCTTCTGGTCTCTCCTAGGCTTTAGGGCTGTGTTTCAGACTTGTAGTAACTGAATGGGAGTTGTCTACACTAGATAAAACTGAGTTTTTACTTTTGAAAAATCAAGGTGGCTCTAAAAGAAAGTTTTTTCAGGTTTTAGTTCACATGAATTTCTCCCCCACTTGCTCCACTGAGTAATTCTTAGTTTGGGGGGCCAGAAAGTAGGGGGTGAGTGTATCTCAAAAAACTGTACTCTATTGTATTGCAATTTTATATTTAAATGTGGGGAAAAGTTCTGTACACACTACATGTTATACACACTACAAAAAGTAAAACTGGGCAAAACCCTCTCAACTTGTTGAAAATACCTAAGTATGTTTGAATGTGTTTCTCAGTTGGTGGCACAATGCCCTCCTTGCTATGGCACACACAGGAAACCAGCCATATTAGAATCAATGTCTTCCTGGTTTATCAGAAGAAGATAGGGGCTTTTACAAGATGCAGAAATGCTGGCCTAAAGATACACATTCCCTTTGTGGAAGGGAAGTAAATTACTTCCATTGAAAGGATTTTATTTTTCTTCAAAAATGAAAGGGCAGAGGGAGAAGAAAATGAAAAGTCAGGAGAATGACAAGGACAAAATCATGTTTACTAATAGCCTTGGGCAGTAAGTAAGACTGGGGAGGGCAACGTGGAGCTTGAAGATAATTAGATCTTTATCCTGTATTATGTTTTAGCAGCTAACTTGGTGTTTTTGTTTTTGTGGCCTCTTCTTCCTTTAGGCTCTATCAGCTCTCCAAAGCTGGGAAGCTCTGTGTTCCGGCCATGAATGTCAATGATTCTGTTACCAAACAGAAGTTTGATAACTTGTACTGCTGCCGAGAATCCATTTTGGATGGGTAGGTTGAAATGTACATACATTCAAACTTAAAGGGAATCAACTAGATTGGGTTGCAGTGTTGTAACACTGCAGTTTTACCCCCTGGTTTTCCTTCACCTTTAAAAGTTCATTAGAGCTGGGCACAAGTGGCTCATGCCTGTAATCCTAGCTATTCAAGAGGCTGAGATCTGAGGATTCCAGTTTGAAATCAGCCCAGACAGGGAAACCTATGAGGTTCTTATCTGGAGTTAACCAGCAAAAAGTTTGAAGTGGGGCTATGGTTCAAGTAGTAGAGTGCTAGCCTTGAGCACAAAAGCTCAGGGACAGAGCCTAGGCCTTGAGTCCAAGCCCTGGGACCGGCATACATACAAAAAAGTCCCTTATAAGGGCCCATTCCATACTGAGCTCAATCAACTTCCAATTGAAGTTCTCTTGAGTATTTCTCTACTCATAATTTTGTGTGGAGGGACTATGTTGAGCTAATAATGTTTGAGTTGAGCCCTTATCTGTTTCCACAGCCTGAAGAGGACCACAGATGTGATGTTTGGTGGGAAACAAGTGGTGGTGTGTGGCTATGGTGAGGTAAATAGCTGGGCCTCAGTGTCTCTATCTTTACATAGACTTACTAGAAATAGTTGGTGAAGGAGACTTGTGCTTTCAGTGTAGAGTTAACTGCTGCCAGAGTCACAATATGACTTCAAATGTTTCTCAAACCAAAGCAAAACGTTCTTCATTCAGATCTATGAGTAGAGATAGAACAAGTTGCGTTGACAGAGTTGATCAGTTTATCTTGTATCAGCCTCCCCCCCATTATATCTTTAATGAGATATAATTCAAATGAATGTAGAATTTTAGCTCCACAAGTTACTTTGGGTGGAATAAAGGGTGTAGCCAAACATCTCTAAACTGAAACAGGTTTTAGGAGATTGTATTGTCTTCAGCAATAACCCATAGAACTTGGGATGCTAGGCTGTCCTTGCATAGTTAACATTGCAAATGAGTTACCAGCATTTTCTGCAATAAGAAATTAAAGGTTTTAGGGCTGGAGAATCAGTTACCTGATTCCTGGGCCTAAGGCCTGAAGTTCAAATCTGTGAGAAATAAACATCTTTTCTATCAAAATATCCCAAGATATTTCTAACAAATCCCAGTACTGTTTAAAAAAAAAAAAAGTGAGAGAAAGAAATTAGTGGTTCCAGTCACTCTTGCTCAGTCTTGTTTCTCTAATGATTACAGTTATCCAAACCGCTTAATTGCCTCTCACACTGAAGTTCACAGTGTGGTCTAGGTCTATTATCTGCTTCGATTTGGAGTTTTCCCACAAGTGCTCACTAGATAACTAGTGATATCCAGAAGTTAGCTCCTGTCTCTTAAAGAGCCCACCTACCCCAGTGCACATGCCTCAATGGACAAGGCAACCGGACCTTTCTTATATTCTACAGGTAGGAAAGGGCTGCTGTGCTGCTCTCAAGGCCCTGGGAGCAATTGTCTACATCACAGAAATCGACCCCATCTGTGCTCTGCAGGCCTGGTAAGGATAGAGTGGTGATAACACGGTTAGGTTTGTTTTGAAAGTTCATGATTGAGTCTATTAATCATTTCTTGCAGAAATCTCCAAGGGAAGAGAAGACTAAGATTGCTCTATTCATGCTCATCCTGGGGGTTTCCTAGAACTTGTTGGCATTTTCTCTTCCTAGATGGAGTCTGGGGTTAAAGGCAGCCAGTTTAGTTTAACTCAGCTTATTCCTGCCCCACCTTCACCCTCCTGGGGATAGCACTGGCTTTAACTCCGGAAGGGGATTTTGTTGTTTAATTATGAGACCAGTGTATGAAGTTTTAAGTTTGAGACCATTGTCCTTTTCCTCCACTGAACTGCCTCATTGTTTTGCTCAGCGTTTTCCCCCTTTTCTTCCAGCATGGATGGTTTCAGGGTGGTGAAGTTAAATGAAGTCATTCGGCAAGTCGATGTCGTAATAACTTGCACGGGTAAGAATCAGCATTGGTGCATATGGAGGAATGTTTACTCCAAGGTGAAACCTCAAAAGTAACCAGGCTGACTTTTTCTGACACCAAAGGTGAAACCTGTGCTCAGTTTGAAGTTCCAGCCCCAGAATGAGCATCAAAACCTTAATGTATCTTCCAAAGGAAAGAGTCCCTTTTATATTGCTTCAATCTTTAAGCCAAGTAATGGAACCAAAAAGCCACTGTGCACTCCTGTGTACAGTGTACGCAGGCTCTTTAATGCCAAGTCTCTCCCACATTCTAACTGAAAACCAATCAGTGCCTTTGCTGCCCAGCATCTCATCTGTCATTCTACCATTTCTACTTTTAGGAAACAAGAATGTAGTCACACGTGAGCACTTGGACCGTATGAAAAACAGTTGCATTGTGTGTAATATGGGCCACTCCAACACGGAAATCGATGTGGTGAGGCTTCTTCCAGTAGTTGCTATGTCTTTCTCCTCTGCCTTCCCTCAGAGCCATTGTCAGCTGTATCTTCTTCCTTTCAGACCAGCCTCCGCACTCCAGAACTGACCTGGGAGCGAGTCCGTTCCCAGGTGGATCATGTCATCTGGCCAGATGGCAAACGCGTTGTCCTCCTGGCAGAGGTACACATGCAGGAGACTGGCAGGGAGGGTGTTCCACAAAGTAAGGAGAGGCAGAAGAAAATATTGAGCCTGAGTTTCTCTGAATTTTTTCTCTATTCAGAAGTTTATTTCTCTAATGCTCTAGTCCCTAAAAGAGAAACAGTCCAGAAAAATTCCCTGACCATGGATGCTATTCAGCCTTTCATACTCAGTGGGTTTGCAGAAAATGGGATAAAACCTGTAGTCTTCCTCATCCAACTGAGCATATATAGGGGTACAGTCTTTTGCTGCATTTGCTTCTCTTTTTTCCACTGGACTCTGAGAAAAGGGTTTTCTCTCTCCCTCCCAGGGTCGTCTGCTCAATTTGAGCTGCTCCACAGTTCCCACCTTTGTACTGTCCATCACAGCTACAACACAGGTACATGGCAGAATTCCCACATTTTCTGCACTAGATGTGCAGAGCTGGATATAGGTCGGCGTTCTAATGAGAGTGTGTGTGTGTGTGTGTGTGTGTGTGTGTGTGTGTGTGTGTGTGTGTGTGTGTGTGTGTGTGTGTGTGTGTGTGTGTGTGTGTGTGTGTGTGTGTGTGTGTGTGTGTGTGGTTAAAATTTCGACTTTTTCCAGTATAGAAAAGAGTCATTAGTGAGTCACACACTGGTGGCTCCTGGCTATAATCCCAGCTATTCAGGAGGCTGAGATCTGAGGATTGAGGTTGAAAGACAGCCCAGGCAGGGAAGTTCATGAGAATTACCTCCAATTAGCCACCAGAAAACCAGAAGTGGAGCTGTTGCTCAAAGTGTAGCTAGCCTTGAGCAAAAAAGCTCAGGGACAGAGCCCAGGCTTTGAGTTCAAGCACCATGACCAACTTAAAAAAAAAAAAAAACCCATTAGTGAAAAGTCTGGGTAGTACATGCCTGTAATCCTAGCACAGTCTAAAGTAGAAGGATCTTAAATTCAAGGTGGGCCTGGGTTACATAGTGAAATCACCCTGGCTCATCAAAAAATAAAGGAACAAGATAGGAAGGAGTTACTAGTGTTTGTGCCTCTGACTTGGCAAAATTCAGTTGAAAATATAGTATTCTAGCATAATGGTTCTTTAGATTGTTCCAGCTTTAGTTCGTTCAACTAGTAGACAAGAACACCAACTAACTCTTAGGCAGAATCATGGGTATTGTCATTTGGCAGGTTACTGTAGTACTTACCTTAAATTCTTGTTAAAACTAGTTTTATTTTTATGTCCCTAAGAAGTGTTTTTGTCTTCTGGCCCTCTTTTCCCACCGTAGGCTCTGGCACTGATAGAACTCTATAATGCACCTGAAGGACGATACAAACAGGATGTATACTTGCTTCCCAAGAAAATGGGTGAGTGAAAAGTGGTAGAACCCCTTTTGGTGGAAGGATACTAGATTCGGAGTCCAGGTTCTGATTCTTTTTCTTGTGAGTACTAATAGGTTGATCTCAGGAGATCAGTAAGCCTCTGTTACTTGATCAGTAAACTGAGAATGATAATTTGTACATTACAGAAGTATAGCAAGAACTACAACTAATGAGCAACAGTGCTTATTAGCACAGTGCTATAAGGTAGATGATGCTCTTCTTCTAAAGTAACCTTTGGAAAGTCAGTAAACTTTCCAGAGCAACTGATACAGCCCAGGCCTTTTATGCCCATCTCTGTCTTGATTAGCAGATTGGTTCTGTCACCCCTGGGGACAGCCATGCTTTGTTCATGCAGTGTGTTCCATTGCTAGACCTCAGCCTTTCTGCACAGTGGTACCCTCTTACCATCTCCTGGGGCCAGCCCAAATAAATGCCTTGCTTTAAGCTAAAAAAACAAAAAAAATAAAATAAAAAATAAAAAGTAGCTTGCCTCAGATTGACTTTTTAAATTAATATACTCATTAAAGTCAGGTTCACCTGTGTGAGCTACCGTAGAAATCTATGATCCTGAATTGTGAAGCCTTTATGGATCTTATGCTAAGTAAACATTAGTGTCACAAAAGTTTTTTGAGCTTACCACAGTCCATTTTGATTCAGTCCAGCTAAAAAGGTGATAAGGAGGATGGGAGCAGTAAATCAAGTGTTAACAGCTAAGATGAAGCCAAACCTTTCCTAGAGAAGATATGGAAGTACACTAGATGGAATTTTAGAGATACTGAAAGGAAATTCTCTGCCAGAAAAACAGGGCTTTTAAGATAAGCACATATTTCAACTTGTGGATTCTTTCAAGGTTATTTCATCTCTATTCTATCTCAGAAAGCTTCCCATGAAAATAAGGGTAGGCCATGCCCTAAGAGGCATATTTGACAAGGAGTCTGCTCCCCTGCCACTTCCTCCTAGATGAATACGTTGCCAGCTTGCACCTGCCATCTTTTGATGCCCACCTGACAGAGCTGACAGACGACCAAGCAAAATATCTGGGACTCAACAAAAATGGGCCATTCAAACCTAATTATTACAGGTAACTTGGGGAAAGCAATGAATATAGAAGTAACAGCCTAGGGCTGGAAATGTGGCTTAGTGCTAGAATGCTTGCCTAGCATGCATGAAGCCCTCGGTTCAATTCCTCAGTACCACATATACAGAAAAGGCCGAAGTGGCTCTGTGGCTCAAGTGGTAGAGTGCTAGCCTTGAGCACAAAGAGACTCAGGGACAGTGCCCTGAGTTCAAGCCCCAGGACTGGCCAAAAAAAAAGTAACCAGCTTAGCCAACTAGCTTTCATTTTTCCCTTTTTGGTGTATGTGCTGTGGGCTTTAACTCAGGACCTGGGTAGGGTCCCTTAGGTTTTTTTTGTTGTTGTTCAAGTCTGGCTCTCTACCATTTCAGCCATAGCCCATTTCCAGCTTTTTTGCTGATTAATTGGAGATAAAAATCTCTTGGGGTTTGGTTTGTCTGCCTAACTGACTCCAAACCATGATCCTCAGATCTCAGCTTCTGGAGTAGCTAGGATTACAGGGATGAGCCAGTGGCACCCAGCAGCCAGCTTCCTCCAGTAAAGATTAGGTGCTATAACTGATTTTATAAAGAATAGGAATTCTTCGAATTGAAGACAGGGTAAGGTCTGGGGGTGGAGTTCCATGATGAAGAGTCCTTACAATGCATGTGTGAAACTATCTCTAGATTGATTCCAGCACCACAAAACAAACAGATTAACGAGGTAGGTAAAGAAATTGTAGACGCAGAAAAGTAAGTGTATTCTGAATTTGTGGGGCTGGAGTCTCACCCTAAAGACTGATGCACTTGGTCTGGGATGAAGCTCTGGCAAACTTCTCTTATGAAAGCTCCACAGACAATTCTAATGCATAGTCAGGGTTGAAACCATTGACTTATATTAGAAAGAAATGCCAGAAATGGCATAGCGAGAGACAAATGGTGCCTGGGATCACCTGCAGGGATCACCTGCAGGAATCCCCTGCCTGGGCCAGGAAGGGACCCGTGAAATGTGATCTGTTTCTGCTTCTTCTCTTGGATATCTCACATGGAACATATATTAACTGGTCCATCTTTTTCCTTACAGATACTAACGGACCATATTACCAACAACCAGTCCATATGAACCACACAACTCTAAAAGAAATATTTTTTAAGATAACTTTTATTTTCTTTTTATTCCTTTCCTGTTGATTTTTTTCTATATTGTCATTTTTTTTGTTTTTGTTTTTGTTTTCTTTTCATCTCAGTATCCAAGTTTTGCAGACCACAAAGGAACTTGGCTTCAAGGTTCCTTAGTTGAACCTGAGGTTCAGGGTCCCCCCCTACCCCGACCCCAAGTCAGTCAAGGATTTTACTCTTCCAGCCCAGAAAGGTAATCCTTTCACTACCATTTCTGGGGACTATCGTCGTGATGAGGTACCTTGTTAATAGGAAATGCTAAGGTACCTTTGATGTGGAACAATTTGCAATGTCTAAATTGCCTTAAAGAGCCCACTTATTAGCTGCTGAAATCAGTGCTCTTTCACTTCTTCAGAGGAGCAGGAGTGGTAGCTACCTGCCAGGTAGATGTAGATGGTGCATGTTAATTTCCCTTAGAAGTTCCTGGCCTGTGTTCTGTGTGAAGGTGAGGGGTCGGGCTCAGAGAAATGTCTCCCGGAGGACTGCCTGTGAAGATGCAGCAGCCTCCTAGGCCTCTGTGCCGCCCTGCCTTCACTCCCTCCACTGTCTCATTTTCCTACTTCTTAACAGACTACATTGTATCAAGTTGAACTTTGTCCCCTAGCATTTATTTCTGTTGTTTTGTTTTGTTTTTTAATTAAGGAAAATTTTAGTGTTAACACTGAGGAACTGCTCAGGTGGTCAGTTATCAATTTCTCTTTTCAACTTTTGAAGCAAAGAGTGGAGAGTTGAGTCTAGAGAAACTCTGTAATCTCAAACTCTGATGAATCCCTCTGTTTCTAGCTCTTCATTTTTATATCATCAGTGAACTGGAGCCATAAGCAAATTGTTTCTGCTCTGCCCCATACAGCTTATGCTGAAGGCAAATTTCTTGAGCCATTACTCAGTATAAACACACTGAGCTCTATCTTTAGAGTTTGTCCTTTAAGAGCAAATTTTTGGTCAGCTGTGCTTCTGCAACCTAAAATATTTAAAGGGAGATAGGTGTGGATAGAAGGAAGAATGGTAAACTGGGCCAAAGTAAAATGTATAATGTGTCTGGGACTATAGATGCTGTCTGATGCTTGTTTTATAGAAGTGATACCATTTTTGATTGACATATCCACAAAAAGTTGATGAACCAAGATGTTAACATTTTGCTGTAGAGAAAGTAACCAGTATATCCTGACTCATTTTCTGAAAGAATACCCAGAGATTTCTCAAAGATCAGAGAGTATATCCATGCCATGCACCCTGCTTACCAGCATTTCTGCATGGTGAAATGAGCTTTAAGTATATAATTATTCAGGATTTTAAATCCTCAACTGGTTCTAGCTTATAGTCCTTCAAAGCCGGGCTATGCATTAGTGCTAGATAATAGACATTCTTAACTTCTCTCCACTGATCAGAGAAACAAATGCTAAAAACAGGAATATTAAAACCGAAGCTTTTACCCTGCAGCTTCCTAGCAGGGGACAATAATCTTGCCAAAACTTTTTTCCCTTCTCTCCCATTTCTCCCCACCCAGTCCCTTTTCCTTGCCAGTGTGGCCATGCTTGCTTCTCTGTAGATGCTAACAGTTGAAGCCCTTTCTCCTAGGGCACTTAACCAGCCAATCAGAACACCACATCCATTGGGGAGGTAACCTGGCCAACACTGTATCCATGGGGTCAGCTCTGCTGGAGAGAAGGGGCCTAGATCCAACTGCCCTCTGATCCTATGTCTCTTACTGTGTCCATAGGAATAATAGGTAAGGGCTCTGTCTCTGTCAAGCCATGTAACAAAGGACACTGTGGAAAAAGTCTGGCATCAGAGGGAGTATATGGAAAGCAACTTGGGAGGAAACTGTTCATTTTGTATTGAATGATTTTTAATGAATGCAATATTAATCCTTGCAGATCAGCAATAATCATTAAAGTCAATTAAAATGATAAGACCTTATTGGTAGTCTGTGTTTTTCTTGGTTGAATAGCAAAACTTTATAAGAACCTGTTTGCTAGGATGGGTTGAGTCATAGGTCAGGAGTATTTAATAGGTATTTAATAGGACCTAATATACAGAGGCTAAATGTAGACTTCATTATTAGCTTTCAGGGTCTGTTTTTGTTTCACTGAGATGGTCTCACTGTGTTGCCCAAGCTGGCTTCAAACTCTGAGACTCAGTGTGTGCTGGTGACTTATGCCTGTAATTCTAGCTACTCAGGAGGCTGAGATCTGATGTCACGGTTCAAAGCCAGTCCCAGCAGGAAAGTCCATGAGACTCTTGTGACTCCAATTAACCACTAAAAAACTGGAAGTGGAGCTGTGGCTCAAAGTGGTAGAGTGCTATCCTTGAGCAAAAAGAGCTCGGGGACAGCACCCAGGCCCAGAATTCAAGTCCCACGACTGACTTAAAAAAACAAACTCACTCCTGGGCTCAAGCCATCCTCCTGCTTTAGCCTTCTCGGGTACACCATTGTTCCAAGATATCAGTAACATCTTATATTGTTACAGTTTGGATGGTGAATGGCCCCTAAAAGTCTGTATTGAGGCCTGGTCCCTAGGATGTCACTTTGGGAGGTACCATGGATCCTTTGGTAGAGGTGATGAGGTCACTGTGGATATGTGCCCTTGGAACGGATGATGGGACTTCTCCATTACTTTGTCCTTTTTGGTTCCTGTCTGATGAGGTGAACAGTTCTGCTCTACTTTGCATTCCCATCAAGTGCTATTCACTATAACATGGAACATTGAGGCCAGTCAAGCAAGCACTGAGCCATCTTCTAGAACTGTGAACCAAAGTAGTAAGCCTTTTCTCACTGTAATCCCAAGACCCACAAAAAAAAAAAAAAAATGGGTAAGCTGAGCACTGATGGCACATGGGTTATCCTAACTACTAAGGAGACTGAGACCAAAGGGGCAAGGTTGGAAGCCAGCTTAGGGAGACAAATCCTTGAGACTTTTGCATCTTAAATTAACTAGTGAAAATCCAGAAATGTAGGTAGAGTGCCAGCCTTGAGTGAAAGAAGCCAAATGATAGCAAAAGGTCCTAAGTTCAATGCCCAGTATCAGCACCAAAAATGATAGATTGATAGATAGACAGACAGACAGACTGACTAAAGAATTACTAACAATATCCCCAGCTCTGGACATCTGTTTTTCTTTTGTTTGTCGGTTGTGGGGCCCGAACACTGGGCCTGGGCGCTGTCCCTCAGCTCTTCAGCTCAAGGCTAGTGCTTTACCACTTGAGCCACAGCGCCACTTCCAGCTTTTTCTGCTTAGGTGGTACTGAGGAATCAAACCCAGGGCCTCATGCATGCAAGGCAAGTACTCTACTATTGAGCCACCTTCCCAGCCCCCATCTCTGTTTTTTAAATAGTGTTTACCTATGCTGCCAAAAGGCAAGAGATTGCCCTGGGAGACATCACTAAGTCTGTGCCATATTTCTCAAAATTACTAGACTCCGTCTCCCACCAATGGCCAAACTTCCTCTAGACTGGCAGCCATTGCCTTCCTTACTGAACAGGCTTCTAAGCTATGAGACAACCACTGGAAGGGTCTTAGAGGTGGAAGACTGCTTTGCTTGCTGGACTCTGCTGAGGTTATACTTAAGGTTTATCAGGCCCTAAACTCGGCTACTGTCATGCCTGATCAGAACCATAATGAGATCATTCATATGTTAGAAGCAACAGACAAGTATGTTCCAACAAACCTGACTCGAGAGGAGCTGATGCTGTGGAAGACTGGTTTACTGGTATATAAAAATGGAGGTAAGAAATAGGATTTGTGGAGCCAGGTGCTGGTTGTTGACACCTGTAATCCTAGCTACTCAGGAGGCTGAGATCTGAGGATCACAGTTCAAAGCCAGCCCAGGCAGGAAAGTCCATGAGACTCTTATCTCCAGTTAACCACCTGAAACCTGGAAGTGGTGCTATGGCTCAAGTGGTAGAGCACTCACCTTGAGCTGAAGAGCTCAGTGACAGTGCCCAGGCCCAAAGTTCAAACCCCATGACTAACAAAAATAGGATATGTGGTAGTAAGTCTCCAAAGGATTTTTGAAGTAAGGCCTTTACTTCCAAGCATGTCTTACCCCAAAGGCTGACCTCATAGCCTTAACATGCTCAGTCAGGTAAGGAAACTTGAGTCAACAGCCACAAACTACACATACCTTCATGCCCAAAAGGCTATATAGGAAAAGAGATTGTTTACAAAAATAATAATAAATACAACATGGCACAGAGATCCTGGTCATCTTTTTATTTGCAGTATTGAATTTTCAACTCAGGTTGATTGCCAAGCAGGCATTATGCCATTTGAGCCACCCTTCTATCCCTGGACCCTGTCCCTCTTACAGGCAGTTTAAAAGCATTAGAAGTGGCCATTGTAATTGCTGCTGGAGGTTTGGCTCAGTGGTAGAACACTTGACACCTAGCATGTGTGAGGCTATAGGTTCAATCCCCGGGGGTGGGGGGTGAGGTGGGGGGGGGAGGCCCTTATGCACTATAAAGAAGATAATGTCAAAGGAAGTAATTTGACGGTAGCAAAAACAACTATCCTAAAAACAGGACTACAGGTGTTCTCTCAGACAACTAAGAAGGAGCATATACCAAGTTACAGAGCAGGCTGAAATAGATAGGGACCTTACAAGGACTATTAGAAGAATCCAGAGGGCTGGGCACTGGTGGCTCATGCCTGTAGTCCTAGCTATTCAGGAGGCTGAGATCTGAAGATCATAGTACTTGGAAGTTAGGCAAGGAACGTCCTTGAGACTCTGATCTCCAATTAACCACCAGAAAACCAGAAGTGAAGCTGTCCCTCAAAGTGGTAGAGTGCTAACCTAGAGCAAAAAAGCTCAGGGGCAGGGCCCCGGTCCTGAATTCAAGCCCTGTGACCAACCACCCCCCCCCCCAAAAAAAAAAAATCCCAAGAGATGATGGTTCCTAGATTAAAAAATAAAACTTCCAAAACCCTTACAACAACAAAAAAAGAGAAAAGAGGGAAAAGCTGGGCCTCATTGGTTCACTTCTATAATCCTAGCTACTCAAAAGGCTGAGATCTAGAGGACTATTGTTAGAAGCCAACATGGGAAGAAAAGTCTACAAGGTTATCTCCAATTAGGGGCTGGGAAGGTGGCTCAGTGGTAGAGTGCTTGCCTTTCATGCTCAAGGCCCTGGGTTCGATTCCTCAGCACCACATAAGCAAAAAAGAAAAAAAGCCGGAAGTGGCGCTGTGGCTCAAGTGGTAGAGCACTAGCCTTGAGCTGAAGAGCTGAGGGACAGCGCCCAGGCCCAGAGTTCAGGCCCCACGACCGGACCCAAAAAAAAATAAAAAATAAAAAAAATGGTTATCTCCAATTAGCCAGAAAAATGCTGGGCTAGAGGTTTGGCAGAAGGATAGCCAAGTTGAGCAAGTATGAAAATCCCAGACAGGCAAAAGTAAGTTAATTGGTTAATAAATTTTAAAATACACAGTTGCTCTTCCTTGAGGAGGGGTGCTATGGATACCTTAGGCCACAGAGCCTTTACTGGGAAGATGACAGTTGGACACCAGTGATTCATGTTGGAAACCACTTCAAAGCCAGCCTAAGTCTGTGAGATTCTTATCTCCAATTAATCACCAAAAAAAAAGCCAGAAATGGAGCTGTGGCTCAAATGGTAAAGCACTAGCCTTGAGCAAAAAACTCAGGGACAGCGCTCAGGCCCTGAGTTCAAGCCCCATGACTGGTGTACACACACAAGAGCCTGACTACTCAGGCACTGGTGGCTCACACCTGTAATCCTAGCTATTCAGGAGGCTAAAATCTGAGGATCACGGTTCAAAGCCAGCCCAGGCAGGAAAAGTCCATGAGACTCTTATGTCCAATAAAGCACTCAGAGAACTGGAAATGGCTCTGTGGTTCAAGTGGTAGAGCACTAGCCTTGAGCTGAAGAGCTGAGGGACAGCACCCAAGCCCCATAACTGACAGGAAAAAAAAAAAAAGCCTGACTATTTGCTATCGCAATAGTCTTGGAGGAGGACTTTGATCCTTGTCCAAAGAAAGAATACCTGCCTTGGTAAATTTAGACTTCAGTTCACACAGTCTATCATCACTAAGCTTTGACTTCCTCCTAGTCTATTTTCACTTTTACAATAAAAGGTAGATTGTGGCTTTGAGAACTAAAAAGTCTTTAAGGCTTTTTTTTTTTTTTTTTTTTTTTTAGATGCAGTCTTGCTCCACAGGCTTCAATTTTGCTGCCTCAGCCTCCTGAGTGCTGGGAGTTAGAGGTACAAGAGTGTGCCATCACACCCAGCTTCGAAGACATTATTAAGAGGACCTTCCAGCTGGGCACTGGTGGCTCATGCCTATAATCCTAGCTACTCTGGAGACTGAGATCTGAGGGTTGAAATTCAAAGCCAGCCTGGGCAGGAAAATTTATAAGACTCTTATCTCCAATTAAGCACCAAAAAAGCTGGCGGTAGAGCTGTGGCTCAAGTGGTGGAATGCTAGCCTGGAGCAAAACAGCTCAAAGATAGGTCAGTGCCCTGGAGTTCAAGCCCCAGGATTGGCACCAAAAGGGGGGCAGGGGGATAATACCCAGGCCCTGAGTTCAAACTATAGGACTAGCATAGGGCTGGCAGAGAGAGGGCACAAACAATCCTTGTTTTAGGCTCCCTATGTCCCTACAGAATGATAAAGGACCTACCTTTACAGCTAATATTTTTTTTAAATGGGCTCCACCACCTTGAAGATCACTTATCCCCTACATCCCTACATACAGCATAGAAAATGTTAAAAAGGCTAATTATGCCCTTTAAAAAAACCTTGCCAGCTGGGTGCTGTTGGCTCACACCTGTAATCCTAGCTACTCAGGAGGCTGAGATCTGAGGGTCGAGGTTCAAAGACAGCCTGGGCAGGAAAGTCCATGATACTTATTGCCAATAAACCACTCAGAAAACCAGTAGTGGTACTGTGGCTCAAATGGT